AAATTTGTCTTCTTTGTAAATCCAACACAATATTATGCAATACAACATAATGTAACATAACATAATTTAACATAAAAAAATATAAAAACACAAAAATCTACATTTTTACAAGTCAAAACCATGAAAAAAAATCAAAAAACAAAACAGTTTTCAAAAGAAAAAATCATTCAATAATTTGTTGATTTGTATTTACAACATATATATATATAAAATAATAATAATAATAACTGTTAAAGTGGGGCGGAGGCAGGGCAGGTGTAAGTGTCAGTCCATTTATGTCTTCATTCCTACACGGGTTTATACGGGTATCTCTGTATACGTTCATTGTCTAATATGTATAATTCATCTCTGATCCAAACGGGACGGATTTAGACGAATACTCATTTTTACTCCGCTCCACTGTCATCCCTATTCATATCATTTATATAGTGTAGCATGAAAAAAAAAAAAAAAGAATGCAAAATCTCTTTATTTCAAGATTCTTCATTATCTAAATTAAAAAAACCTTAAATTTGAATAGCCTAATATACCATTTGGTAGTCTTTTTCAACTAATGTTGTACACAAAAGATAAATTTTCAAAAATAAAATAGAATTTAGTTCAATTATTACTTTGCAAAAGTGATTTTCTACCCAGGAAATGGCTATGATAGCGGAAAGTTTATTTTGGTATGATGCTGAAAAATACTAAGTATTAAATTGCACCATTTAAATGATAACTTAACAATCATTTGTGGTCAAATACAATATTTAATGATCGAATACATCAACTTTAATTAGTGTACGAATAGAAGACTAAGGCATCAAATTGGTCGGCTGTGACGTGTTAGTGGCCGTTGACAGCTAAAGACGTTAGCATAAACCAAATGGCACCAACGTAATTGGGTGGGCCAGTTCTCTTTTATTTTGTTTAATAGTAAGTAGTATTGGAACTAGTTTATGTCTATTTCAATTAAATTTTTTTTTGACTCGGTCCAAAACAGATAATCGATGTTCGATATTAAAATATTCACGATGAATAAATTTTTTATGATGTACCCAAAATTGAGTAGGCCATTGTTTACTATTTTATATTGACAGTGTTTAACAATTGATTTGACTCAAGTAGATGATGTTAGTTTATTTTTTTGTTTTTGATATTTTTTGAATGAGTAATGTTAGATAGACTTAAAAATTAGATTTAATAATCTCAACCATTGAATAGGTAATGGGTCCCAATAAATGCTGGGATCCACAATGAAATCAATGGTTGAGATTATCAGGTCTAATTTTTAAGTTTATGTAACATTGCTCTACTTTTGAGTTTTGTATTTAGGGTGACATTAAATGCTTAAGTAATAGATTGATAAAAGTTCAATTAAGGGACGCATCCTAATGTCTAAATATGACAGCAGCAGTTAACGAGACATGAAGACGGGGTGATTTAAGTTTAAGTTATGACAGCAACAGTTAAATGCTTAATATGACATTCAATTAAGAGAGTTTTAAGTTATCATTAAATCACCCGTTTGGTAAAAAAAATGGACTCAAAATGATACGATTAATAAACAAATTGGATATCGAGGAAACCAATTAAAATACATACATGATACGATTCATTTATATACTAGTGATACAAGATTCACAGATAACACGAACTTAATATGAAACTAATTAATATATGAATGGAGTACGAGTTAAGTCAAATCAAGTCATTTTTTGACTGAGCTTTAGAAAAATTTAGGAACTAAACTTGAATAATATGTTGAATCTTATCATGATCTTGAGTTGGGTTCAAAATATTCTAATCGAGCGAACGAACTAAATTGAATTATTTGATATTCGACTTGATTCCATTCAATTCATTCGCAGTTCTAAGATCACAAATTCAACACGTAATTTGCATTTTGCCCTAATAAATATTTGCCGGTCTAATTTGAAAGAGGCGATCAACAGCCCCCCTGAACACAACCAACATCTTTGGCCACGTGCATTATCGTGGGAATTATTGAAGGTGTGCCTCATTTGAATATAAGTTCAACTTTGGTTTTCAAGTTGAATATTGGCAGTAAGAATCGGTGAGCTGAAGGACAGACCATAAATTTGGAACTAAACTGTATGTAAACTTTTTAACACAACTAATTCATCTTTCTATTTTAAATTTGGAAAAGAGAAAAAAGTACTGCATGTAAATTTAGATGCATCAGCAATAATCTCTTATCTAAAGACACTATATAATATCAAAAATTAAATTATTATTATAATATAATAATTGTTTTAATTATACAATTTAAAATTAAAATAAAGAGATATGTAGGTGTGAATTGTTTGACATTGAAAAGTGTGTTGATTGAGTTGTTTGATATTAAAAGTCTTATAAAGAAGTTAACGTTTTTGAGTAGAAAAAAAAAATTTAAAATGAATTTTATACTATCAGACCAATATAAATGAATATTAGATTAATTTTGATCGTTGTTGTTTATAATTTTTTTTTTTTTTGAACAAGCTTTTTAAGTGTAAAATTATAAATTTGTAATGATTAATTTTGTATTGTATTAGTGATGTGCCAATTTATCTGAAAAAGGGAATAATATATTACATGGTAGAATATCTTACTTGGGCAAAAGGTGGAAAAATCTAATCTTAATGATAGTTTAAGTAATAACAAAGACGAACTGTAAACTCAGACGTCCTGATTTCGAATATTGACAATTTCTTGGGATCAGATAATAAGAAATTTATTTCTCATGAATTTTCCAGTTTTGACATGAATAACTTGTCTTTAATTGAATCGAAGATGAGATTAGTCGATGTGTGC